AACTTTTTTCCTCGTTTCCCCCTGCTTTTCTAATTCATGGGGTGCCCGGGGGAGAGTTTTGCTCTGCCTGAGAAGACAAGGCTCCCCAGCCCGTCTGGGTGGTGCAAAGTAACTCAAGGGGTTAAAAAGCAGAGCGAAGCACCAGAAAAGTTTGGCAAAAAGTTTCCTCCAGTCAGTGAGTCGCTGCTCCGAGCAGTCCTTTGCCTGGAGTTTGGGATAAGGTGGCTGAAGTGAAAAGCCTCCTCTTAGATGTATTTATCCAGGGAGGTGCAGGTGCTGCAGAGATCAGGAGGAAGAACAAACCTCTCAACTTCAGCGAGTTTTGCAAGGCAGGACGAGAGGGAGCTTCCACGTCCCCCGGCCTTGCTACCTGCCGGGGGGCACCCCACAGCGCCGGGGGCAGGCGGCCGGCAGGCAGCGGGGCTTGGGCATGGCCAGATCCCGCCTTAGGTGTTTCTCTCTCCCTTTTCCCCCACCCCTCTGGGTTTGGTTTGCTTTCGCTGGGAAGTTTGATGCGAGCCCGAGATTCTTTATAGGGACAGGAAAAAAAAAAAAAAGGAGGAAGGAGAGACGTCACCAGCCGAGGCAAGGGGACTTCACGCTCTCTCTCCCTCCCTGTCATTTCACAGAGCTCCTGGATTTCCTGTTGCTGCTGCTGCTGCTGCCTGAGATGGGGCAAAGAAATGAACCGAGTTGTCCCCCACTGCCTCCCAGCATCGCCTGTCCCTGCAAAGCCGGAGCTGCGTGAGCATCAGGTGGCAACATCTTCCCCCAAAGGCAGAAAGGTGGCCAGGGGTGTCGGCATCCCCCTCCCCGCTCCGGGGCTCTCAGGGCTCCAGGGCACGGGGAAGGGGAGCGCAGAGGGACACCACCTGAGAAGCAGGCTCTCTTGCAGGAGCGCTGTCTTTGCCCCCCTTCCCCTGGTTATTTAGCAGTTTGGGGTTCTCTTTATGCCTCTCAGTGTATCTTGCTGGAATGCCACCTCCGTCCTCCCTGCCCTGCTGCCTCCCTTCTTGTGGCAGCCACCACTGTGCATCCCTTGCTCTTGGGGCACAGAGAAAGGTTCTTGTTTGAATAGGATATTTGGGGCAACCCTAATGGTGTTATATTCATACAGCACAGCTGCCTCCCTGATCTCTCATGGGTTTCTCATAGCAGCTGCTTCTGTGTCACCTGAGCAGTATCTCCAGGCACTTGGGTGTAGACAGATCCACCCACGAGGCTTCCAGCCTGTCCTCGTGCCTTTGCTCTTGCCATGTCAGGCAGGATTTCGGCAGGGGCGAGCACTCCTGCGGTGGTGAGGGACAGCGTGGTTTTGGCAGGGGACACGCAGATGCTTCCCCTTTCGCCTCCGCCCCGGGAAAGCACGGTCTTTTCCTGGTTCAGGGCTGCTCCTTCAGCCACAGGTGCCTCCTGGGCCAGCGCAGCCTCAGCTGCAAGGGTCAGAAACTGTGCTTGGTGAGTGCCAGGCGTCCTGGGAGATGTCCCAGTGCACGTAAGGGGCACTTCTGGAAATGCAGCCAGCACTCGGGTGACGGGGAGGGAGCTATTCTGTGCTATTGCAATGCACATGCCAGTTATATGGCTTTTAACGTACACAAACCACTACACTATACTGATAATGAGGGAGTGGTGGAAGCTCTACAGCTGCCCACACAGATTGTCAGTCCCAATAATGCCACAAATGAGGCACTGGGGTTAAATGACCTATTACAGCCTTACAGTAAAGCACTGTCGGTCCCCATGGCTGAATGACGGGGTTGGTTTGCATTTTTTTGTTACTCTTGCTCGGTTCGTCTTCGAAAGAAGAAGAGAAAGATGGCAGGTGCATTAGGCCTTATACTGCATGTATACCAAGGGGCTTAGTGAAACTGAGCTGTGATCAGGGTGTTACAGAGTTTTTCATGCCTCTTTTTAGTATACTTCTAAATTCTTAATGCACGTAACAAGTGTGGATGCTACATTAAAATGCACTAGAGCAAAGTGAGACATAGGTCCGGTTCTGTGAGTTACAAATCCATAGGTTATCCTGCAAGGAAAATGGGCACTTCAGAAGATCAGAATTGATACCTGGTGTAGAAATGGCCCAAATTCAAACAATAAATGGAACACAGAATAGCCTCAGATACCTCCAGGTTTATGAACAGGAAGCATCATTTCTCACGCACGGTGTTAAATCAGGAATGCTTTTCTCAGCATCACAGGAGGTCAGCAGTTAATGCTAATTTTCGTATAAGTGCCCAGATCATTCTTAAGATGACAGATGCATTTTCTATGCCTAAAAATTAATTTTTAGGACATACAACTTCCCCCAGATCTGTGTTGCAGTAACGGACTTCTAAATAGTTACGGATAATAGCAAAGACCAATCTTATAGGAAGCTTAACTGAAGAATGAAAATTCTAGCTTAATTATAGAACTGTAGTTTGTTTTTTATTTACAGGGAGGTGTTTAAGAATTCATTGGAGGCTACTGACCAGCTGCTAGCAAATCATGTTGTATTTGTGTAATGCCCCAGATAATCTTTTATCTGTTGATAAACTTAATTGATCTTTTAATTGAGATTAAATGCCTATAGCGTGTAGTTTCACAAGGAATTCGGTGTGAGAGCCTGGCCAAATGGTCCCGGGAACTATTTTTAATTCTTTCTTTTCTCCTTCAAAATATGCAAAAGCAAAAATACGGTTGTAAGAATGGCACGTTTTGTTCCGGAGCATCTTCATATGCCTGTAGCAACCTGTTAGAGCTTTTCCAAAGCATAGCAGGCTTCCCTAACGCAACAGCATGTTCTGTTTGTACAGATGGGAATAGCGATTTGCTAACTGGACTAGAACCTCTTCATAATAGTACAACTTGTTTTGCCGTGACAATTATTCCATCTGAGGAATTCAAAGCTCCTTACTAATATTAACAAATATCTTTTTGATATTGCCTCGCAATACTTGTGGGAATTGAAGTAGGGCTAGAAAAGGTCGTTTCACTTCCTAATTAAATGCTTTCAGCTTTGCAAAGGCCCCTGGCAGTTGTATCAGTATGAGCATAACGAAATAAAATAGTGATAACAAGGAAGTGAAGATTGCTGTGTCTCGTGGAAATGCTAGACAACTGGGGTGGAAAGCCGTAACCTGTAAGAATTTGGCCAGCATATCAGGGCCTCGTGCACCATGAAGCGCTAGGACCAAGCAGTGCAGTTTTGCAGGACCAAGGCAGTGTAGTCTGAGACCTGCACTAACTACAGACTGACCGTGCAACTTGCCTGGCCGTCCCTCGGAGTATCTTCCATCCTTTATGGCAGCGGCCTGACACAGAGGATTACAGGAATTATTCCCTTTTATCGACTTGACAGGGGACGGTACCAGAGCTGTGAACTCCTTCGCTTTGTCTTGCTCCTCTGTTGGTGCTCATCGTAAGCACGTATCTAGGAAGCGCAGAAGAGGGAGCAGCTGTTGATCAGAGCAGGGCCTGGAATTGCATCCTCCACTCCGTGCTGTGTTTAGCCTTAGCCCAAAGGTAAAATGTATCTAACCTAAACGTAGCTGTCCAAATGTTAGGTGTCTAATCTGGGCTAGTTATCTAGGCTGCCCTGCTTAGTGACTGCAGGGATAGGCTCTTCTGACTCATCCCATCTGTGCAAACCTCTGTTTTACAAACCTTTTTTGGCAGGTGCCCGTTTGCCTCCCTCAACAATAGCAGAGGGAAGAGACAAGTTTAGCCTATAAGCCTAAATTTTAGATGGCTAATTCTGCCCCGTGTCTTCAGGTAGAGGCACTTCGACGCACAGACAGCCTTTCCTACCAGCTTGATGGAGACAGTCCTGACCAGAGGCACGTTCTGCAAAATGGAAAAAAAAATGTCTTTACTGAAAGAGTGGTTAAACATTGGAACAGGCTGCCCGGGGAAGTGGTTGAGTCACCGTCCCTGGAAGTATTTAAAAGACGTGTGGATGAGGCGCTGAGGGACATGGTTTAGTGGGCATGGTGGTGTTGGGTCGGCGGTTGGACTCGATGATCTTAGAGGTCTTTTCCAACCTTAATGATTCCATGATTCTATGGAGTTATTCTCCAAAGCAGGTCTCGCCCTTTCAGTTGGAGAGAGCTGATATTCACAGCTCTGTGCTACGCTAGTGAGTGCTGGCTTGGGCTCCCAGAGCTGAGCTTCGCCTGCAGAAAGAGAAGCAAGCAGAACATGACAATGGATTGAAAGACATTTTTCTGCGTTAGTGATCTTTGGTAGGAGAGGAGAAGGGTAGTGACTACCTTTAAGGACAGTGACTTGGCAGGCCCATAGATTTTCATTGCAGTGTGCTGTACCAAGGAGTTCTTTGTCATGTTCCTGAGAGGACCTAAAGTGCTTTTTGGATAGACAGCTTTTTGGATAGACAGCTTTCCATGTCCTGTGAATTCAAGCTCCCAGAAGAGGTGGTGGAAACAGGCAGGACATTGCAAATGTGCCTTGCGCTGTACTGTGTTGTTCTGCGATAAAACAGTGCATGTCCCATGAATTCCGTTGTTATTTATTTGATGTATAGGGTGCCTTGGAGGCATATGCAGACCTCCAAGACAGGCAAGGTGCTGGCTACATGTGGGTCCCTAAGCCGGTAAACAGAAGTAAAGCCATCACTTCCTAGGGTACGCAGTCCATCCCCAGTCCCACATCCCCTCACACAGACGGTAGCATTGCCAACGGTAGTCGCCTTAATCCTGAGGAGAGCTGCAAGGCCGTCGCTGGGTGTGCCTCTCTCCACGATCTGGGCAGGCTGTCTGTCATGCACACACATCCTGTAGCCCCTTGGGGATCGAAAGACAAGTTAGCATTGGCAGTCTGTGAGCAAACAGGGTGGGGAACTTTTTGATGAAAATATTTTTCACTGGA